AATTACATCGTTCACCAATTTCGACATAGAAATATCTTTCTTCAGAAAGTGCTATGGCATAATCTATCAACTATAAGACAGCTGCTGAGTGACCGGAAATTCTCCGTGAGCAAAATATTTACGTGCCAAGCATGTAAAACATGTTACGATGGTTTGCACACGCCACTGTAGTGGCATACTTTGTTTGTCTTCTTGGATATTTGCACAAAGCTACACCAGGGCTATCTTTGCTAGCCGTTTCTAATTTTGAACTATAGATAAGAGGAAAGTAAGCTAGATAGTCGACATCCCCCGCTGCCAAATTTAGGGCTACTCTAATCGAATAGAGTGATTTGATCCTCTCCCTTATAACAAACCGTAAGTATGAAGCATGATTTAGCGCTAAGAGGGCTCGAAACATGAGCCCTCAAATTATCAGCCTTTCACGCTAACCCCTAGATCACACCAGCCCCGTATTAGAATGTAAAAATAATTCCTAGTAACTGCACTTAATTTTGTGTATATAACGATGTTCAATTTCTTTTCTTGCATATTTTATGTGCACGTTACTGAATTTACTTTAGATACTATCAGAATTTAACGGAAATTTTATTCGGTTGTCCCATATATTGCCGGATTAACTAAAAATAAGATGATATTAATAATTAACGAGAAAATGAAAAAAGTTGATCTTGGAATCCAACGAAATTCGTTAATTGTGAGTTTCAACACATGAACCGCTGTTTTTATAGTAGGCGTAATATGAAGCAGAATGTCATTTATTTTTTCAAGTATTACAATATCAAGGACCACATGAACCACTGATTCAGTTAAATGTGTTAGTTGTGTATTAACTCAATTCATTTTTCAACAACTGTTATAGACGACTGCGTTTAAACACTTCGAAAATTTTGTTTTCTTCATATTCATTTTTCTATCTTCATATACAGAAGTGAGTTCATTTATTTTTTACCTCATAACTTGTTACCGTGAAAGTAGTTAACACTCACTGATTAGCTGGATACAAGTATGTTTAATTTATAATCATAGGTATATGTTAAGATATATGTTTATTTAGCATAATAAAATATACTTATTAATCAGGGTTTGCACTTTTGAACTTCTATATTATACTATATACAAACTTACACTTTAAAGTTTTTCTATCCTCAGAATTTTACTTGATATTAGTAGCGTTTCATGGGAAAATTAAACCATATTTAAAGAAGTTGTAATAATATTTTCTATTGTCGTAAAGCGAACAGTTTTTAAGGTACAACTTTGCTTTGTATTCAGGTGGTAATCATGTTATTCACCACGATCCAACTGTTTCTGTTGTTCCATAGACTACGTGTTTAAGAGCCTGGATATTTCTGTGGTTCACCGAACATACTCGCCCTTTTAGCCGTGGGGACGTTATAATGCGTTGGTCAATCCCACTATTCGTTGTTAAAAGAGTGGCGGTGGGTGTTGTTGACTAGCTGCCTTCTCTCTAGTTTGTCACTTCTAAATTAGGGACATCTAACTCAGATAGCCCTCGAGTAGCTTTGCGCGAAATTTTAAACAACTAGAAGAGGCTTACATAGCACCTGACCTTCCCAGATCCCGAAATCGATCCCGATCCCGATCATGATCAAGATGGTAGAACGCCCTCTTTCGAATTTTTTGGGATATTGTAAGGTGACTCCAGCCATAAATATTTCGTTTTTTTTGTTAACAGAAAACATATTCCTGGCTAGTGTCTGCTATAAATAGAGGTACATCTGTCTCACCCTGGTTCTCGTTAATTCAACTAATTAACCTAGTTTCAGACAAGCAGATCCTATCCGAAACAACTGTTGTGATCTAAAGTAATTGAGATTGAGTGAATGCTTTTCTTCTTCTCAGGTGAGCAGGAACTCATCTTCTGACCTTATTTATGTGCTCTGCTATCAGATTCTTATTTGATTACAGACAAGTTGTTTTATTGAATACTAGTAGCCATTGTTTCCTAATATGAACATAAGATCAGAACAAAATGCGTTTTTAAGCCTGATTTATAAATGTATCCATCTACATGTGTAACTATATGCTGAAAAGAACAAATGCTTTTTGAATTTGTTTCTGTATTGTGTTTCTATCTTGTTTACATATTAAAGCGCTTTTACAGTGTACCTTTGGGCAAGGTAATTTGGACATATTTTTATGCATAAATATTTTCATTTTATATACCGTGATATATACAATAACGTGATCTACAAACTGCCGCTGTGATATATAATTTTGAATATTTAAAAATTATGTTTCGTTTTATACAACATATCTTCACGAAGCACAAAACACTTCGACATTTTATTCTTAATACTATGGTAAAGGTTATTAAATATTTTATCAATACAACATGGTAATGGTTATTAAATACTTTAACAATACAACATGGTAATGGTTATTAAAATAATTCCTCAATACAACATGGTAATGGTTATCAAATATTTTATCAATACAACATGGTAATGGTTATTAAATATTTTATCAATACAACAATGTAATGGTTATTAAAATAATTCCTCAATACAACATAGTAATGGTTATTAAAATAATTCCTCAATACAACATGGTAATGGTTATTAAATACTTTATCAATACAACATGGTAATGGTTATTAAATATTTTATCAATACAACATGGTAATGGTTATTAAATATTTTATAAATACAACATGGTAATGGTTATTAAAATAATTCCTCAATACAACATGGAAATGATTATTAAAATAATTCTTCAATACAACATGGTAATGGTTATTCAAATAATTCCTCAATATATTTTTGCCATTCTTTGCTATTCTTAAAAGTTTTTATTTTAACTAAAATCTTATACGTCGGCACTATATTTAGAAGTAAATGACAGGGGTTTCACTGAGTTTTAGTGTAGCAGGTGAATAATACAAGAAGGTAAGTAGGGACGTTGAGAAATTTTTTTGGAAGCAGAGGGGAGAGGGACGCTATTTCAAACCGGTATTGTTAAGAGTCAGGCTTATGAAAAATAGTTTTTCGCAACTCGTGACAACGAACAAAATGTATTAGGTTCTTTAATTATGGCCATTCAACATAGAAAGAAATGCAACTTACATTTTGCTGAATCTTCTTTAAGTTTTGATTTCGAAGACATTTGTATCATTTTGACGCGACTTGTAAAACAAAAGTATATTATACGACGTCTATAAACAAACTCCTTAAGGAAGTATGAATTAATTATTCGTCGGGCGTGTTTCTTTGGTCCCAAATGCATATATTCTTTAAGTATCCACAATAATTCCTTAGATCACCGCAATTTAGATATGGATATCTATTTTAGTAGGATAAACCTGCATGTGCTTCATGTTTTAAAATACACGCTTTCTTCAGTAGGATAAACACAATTATATAAATAACTTGCATGTGCTTCATGTTTTAAAATACACGCTTTCTTCAGTAGGATAAACACAATTATATAAATAACTTGCATGTGCTTCA